ACATAAACCATAGAAAACAACCAACTCGCGATAAATCGAATTTGCAACGCGCTATACTCGCATGCTTCGTAAATCACGCCAAATCGTGTCTCTCTTAAGTGGTAGAAGAAAAATAACGCGACCCAATAGATTAGATCACGCGCGACATATTTATTTAAATAATATAGCGCTGGTTGCTGGAGAGTGGGTTCGCGTTCTCATAGAATCCGCGATCACACGACCGTGATTTCGTTTCACCCTCAACCACCACCACCCCACCCCCCACCCCTGTTCTAATAGAAAAGACAATTGGAGCTGAGAACCCCCCGAGCGGAACAACGATGGTCGCGAGCTGTTTTGAAATAAACTTTAAAACGTTGTACAAACACTCCACCGGCGTGGAAACATATTGAACAGAAATTAAAAAATAAGCTTCGTAAGCCACCATTCGTATAGATCTGACCTCTCTTTCTCGGGCGGGGGAGGGGGGGGGGTGGTTTTCTCACTGTATTGCTCGGGGCCTGAGAAACCGGATCGACGCGAATTCAGGGGTAAACTCTTCCGACCGCAGAGGCATTCTACTATTTTTATTAAGCATGCGTGTGCGTAGTACTCTTATAAATAGCTCTGTTATAAATGATAATTGGAATAAATATTCTGGCGAACGGCGAAATCCTTTGACTTCGGACAATTTCCATAGCGCGAAATTATTTATTCGCAATAAATTCGCAATAGTTATAATATAGTTATTATATATATTCTATATAGTTATAATATAGTTATTATTATATATATACTATATAGTTGTAATATAGTTATATTATTATATATTATATTATATATATTATATATTATATATTATTCTATACAGTTATAATATAGTTATTATTATATATATACTATACATATAGTTATTATTATTATTATATATATACTATATAGTTATAATATAGTTATTATATATACAATATAGTTGCAATATAGTTATCCTAAATGCGTATAAACGATCGATAATATTTCGATACTCCGATTAAAAAAATTACTTCTAAATTCAAATTACTTCCGCACAAAGTTCATCCGTTTTCGTTGAACGGAGCCTGTCGTCCATTTGGCGCGCACTCGCAAATTTATAACACGAATAGAAAATTTTCGACGGATTTAACCGCGTTACTTCAGTTTTCATGAATGGTAAATAAAAAAAAGAAGGAATCGTCGGTAAAAATCACCGGCGTCGTTCGTTTAATACAGCCTATTTCTGGCTGTCCTTTATAACGTCGTTTGCGGCTTTGTCCTTGACAGTGCGCGTAGGTAGGTGAATAAAGTCGAGGAAGCAAAAATGGGAACGAAAGGAACGATAAAACCCCCTGGCGAAGGGGGGAAGGGGTGGTCGGTGGTGGCAGCGTGCACCGCGCTGATAAATATAACGTAACAAGTTCACTGGAATAACAACTTCATCCCGGGCGGGATCAATGAGACTTTGCCGGCGACTTTTACGCACAGAATTTCCTTACCGAGTAAAACGTATTGTGCGCGCGAGAAATCGCGCGGGAAGATACCGAATAATCGATCATTCTTTTTCCATTACCTTCTATTTGTTCTACGGTAATGCACGTGTTCGCAGTTAACGCGAATCGAGAAGCGAAAATGTTTCGACTGAGAAATTCAAACATCAATATTAAATTAATGTTAATGTTATATTAATATTATTATATTATATTAATATTTCATACTATATAATATATAATAGTATATAATACTATATTAATATAGTAATAGTTATAATATATATAATATATAATAATAATATAATAATAATATAATAATAAATATATAAAAATTAATATAGTATTAATTACTATATTACTTACTTACTATATATATATACATATATGTACAAGTAAGTAATATAGTAATTACTTATTAGTTATAATATAGTTATTGTATATATATAATACAATTGCAGTATTATTATATGTTACTATTATATACTATTATATATTATATAGTATTATTATACAATATTATTATACCATTATAGTATTATCTGACAATTCATCAAAGACAAATTCACAGCAATGTAAAAATTCTTTCGAAAATGTCGCAGCAATTTCGCAACGTCGTGCCAGAGTCGCCGCTCGATGCGCAAACCTCGTATAAATGCCTCTTGCCAGGGTTGTAGATACTAAATATTATCTATACATATATAGATATAATATTACCTTTGTATCAGCATCAAATTGACAAATTTGTTCGGCAGATATCATCGCGACACCATACAATGCGATCCATTCGGAATCTTCGCGCGACGATCTGCCGGGCCGCAGAGCTTTCAGTTTTTCGCCCTTTCGGCGCGGGGTGCTGCGGCGGCCTCATTCACCAAGAGGATGATCAGGCGCGTGAGTCAGTGCACAGAACGTTCTCACTGGTGAGCAGCAACCGAAGGGACAGAATGTCCCATTACCCGGGTAATCCTTGTTTGTAATAAACCAGCGCCCCGCTGCCAGAGTTGGGGGGCGGCGAGGGGTGGCAGCCACCCTCGCGCCGCATAACGTCGCAGAGGTGGAGCCATCTCCGCACGCATATGCTCCTCATGGAATATCATTTATGTTTCTCACCCCGGTGCAGACGTCTATCCCCGTTTGACCTGCCGCGACCCCTCCGGGGCAACCCTCTTTCGGTAGACACCTCGATCCTTATACATACGCCTAATCCGGGCATGATTGCCGGCGGCCACCGTCTCGTCACGAAAACTCCTACTCGGATGCTGCTCGATGCTCTCACCCCTTTTTTTTCTTTTTTTTCTTTCGCACTGTGTCGAATAACTTGTCGTTACAACAATGCGAAAGACGTTTTTTATATTAATTCTATGGTCGGATGACGCCGCGA